CTAACCGATAAAATAATAAGTCGAACCGGCTTGAAATTCCGGATTATTTGGTATGGTCGATATGGATTCGAAACTCATGGTGAATCGTTTCGGTTGCGGTCGGTAGGGGTTGCTGCAGTTGACGATCGTGTGGACGGCGTCGCGAGACGACAGGACGCAGTTCTTGTAGTCTTTCTGTTTTACCTGGTTTCGGTTGTTATTAATTTTATTAGTATCGTTATTATCTTTGTTGTTGTTGTTGTTGTTTTTCATCTTGTTGATGATGATGATAGTGGTGGTCATGGTAATGATGATGATGATGGTGATAATGATGATGGTGGTGGTCATGGTAATGATGATGATAATGATGACGATGATGGTGGTGGTGGTGGTGGTCATGGTAATGATGATGATGGTAGTGGTGGTCATGGTGATGGTAATGATGATGATGATAATGATGATGACGATGATGATGATGATGATGATGATGATGATGATGTGTGCATTGGCGCTTAAAATGCGAGTATGATTGACAAATAACACGACCTTCAGAGGACACGACCCTCCATTACAATTATACCAATGCTAATAACAATGATAACAACATTCATAATAATAACAACAATTATTATTATTGCACTAATAAGTATAATAAAAATAGAGAAAGATAGAAAGAGAGAGAAAGAGAGAGAAAGAGAGGAGAGAAAGTGAAAAAAACTTAAAAAACATAATAGATAAGAGTTAATTAAAGAGTATAATACAATAACTTGTAGTAAAAAGTGGTTTCCGTCGAAAAATAGAGAAGGAGAAAGAGAGAGAGAGAGAGAGAGAGAGAGAGAGAGAGAGAGAGAAATAGAGAAAGAGAGAGAGGGAGAGAGAGAAAGAAAAAGAAAGATAGAAACTAAAAGAGAGAGAAAGAGAAAGAGAGAAGGAGAGAGAAAATCAGAAAAAAAGAGCGAAGGATATCAATTCAAAGTAGAAAATGGCTTCAACATTTTTTCTAGAAAAGCTGGATAGAGAAAAAAAGTGAGAAATACAAAATTAAATAGAGACAAAAAGAAAGTAGAGAGAGAAAGAAAGAGAGAAGAAGCAAAAGATAGAAAGATTGATGAAAAGAAGGAGAAAGAAGAGCCAGAAAAAGAGAGAGAGAGAGAAAGAGAGTATATGTTAATTCGAAATAGAGTGTGGTTTCAATACTTTTTCCAGGAAAGCTACGAAATTCTGTCTCGAATGCTGAAATTGAGATGGATTAATACTACACCTTGTTTTGTTGATGTTGTAGTTGATGTTGTTGATGTTGTTGTTGATGTTGATGTTAAATTTGTAGTTATTGTTGTTGATGCTGACTGACTGAAGTTGCTGTTGCTTATGTTGCTTTTGCAGTTGGTATTGTTTTTGTTGACGGTAAATATAAATAAATGTATATTTATATATAATATATAAGGGAATTCATGTCTTTGTGTTTGTATATGTATGTGTGTGTCTGTTTACGTGCGTGCGTGTGTATGTATGTGTGTGTATTTGTATATACGCCTATGTCTCTGTGCAAACTTTTAACAATCACTTTTGAAAAAGTTGAAAAATTCATGGATGAAACTTATTTGAAATTATTTTCTCAATTTTTATATTAAGTGTTGATTTGAATTTAATGAGTAAATGTACGTGCTTGCCTTGCTAGCCAACCAGTTAGAATTGCTAGAGTGTTTTTTTTCCATATAATTATCATATCATGATTGATGGCGGTTTATTTTTTAATAATAATATGAAGACTAAGAGGAGAAAAAGAAAAACAGAACAATAATATTAATGTTTTAGGTATTGTTATTGCTGTAACTACAAAGAAAGAAAAAGAGAGAGAGAGAAACAAACAAACAGAAACGTGATGATGATGTTGTTGTCGTAACGTTATGATTTCATTTCATTTTATTAATAATGAGGATGATGTTGTTGTTGTCACGGAATGTCATTATTGCTGTTGTCGCCACGTGATGTTGTTTATATTGTTGTTATTGTCGCGTGATGATGTCATTGTTGTTGCTGCTGTCACGTGATGATGTCATTGTTGTTGTTGTCATGCATTATTGTAACGAACGACAGACCGCAAACAATCAAACAGGCGAATCACCATTAATCTTTGTTACGCAGATATTTTTTACTACGGCTGCTACTACTACTACTACAATTACTACTACTACTGATGCTACAACAACAACTACTAATACTTCTTCTTTTACTACTATCTCTACTACTGCTAAAAAATTTGAAAATAATAAAAAAAAGATTGAATAAAATGTTAAAACTCTCGAAAAAATACTTTAGCAGTACGGAAATTTTCTATATTAGTATAAATGGCTTTAGTTCTGCTAGTATTTTTTTTATTTGTTTTATTATTTTTCATATTATAGTTGTTTCGTTCGAAAATTTGTCAAGTGATTGAAATTTTTTTATTAAAAAATTGAGATTCTAGAATTCTTTAGTTGCATTCTTAATTATTTTCTTCTTACTCTATATCAGAATTTGTCAAATGAAATGTGAACACAAAGTTAGTTGTTATCATTAACGCTCCGACAACAATTTGAAGTCGTGTATCAATGAAAAGAGAGCCCCAAAAACGTATTTATTCACATGAAACCGAAAAAGTTGCTTCTAGAAACTCAAAATATGTAATCGGAGACGAAGTGTAATTACATTTCACGCTGTAATAAACATTAATAACAATAATAACAACTAAAAAAATAATTATAACAATAAAATAATACTAATAATAATATAACCAGTAAGGGATAAAAATTTGAACTGACAACCTAATTGGAGATCTTAATCCTCGTTAAATAACACGGATTATGATTTGATGGTGATGATTGTTATGATGATGATTGTTATGATGATGATGTTTAGATGATAATGATGATGATGATGAGAAGTAGGAGGAATGTGATGATGATGATATCCTAGCAATACTATTATTACTAAACAATAGAAGTTCAAAGGAAAGAAATCGAAATTTTAAATTTTTTTATTAAATATTATTATTGCCACAACTATTAATATTATTATAAATTATAATAATTACTATTCATTATTATTAATAATAATAATATTATTATTATTATTTAAAAAGATTTTTGAATATCTTTCTATACACGTTAAAAATAAATTTTTTATGAAAAAAGGAGAAATTATACTTAATTAATTAAAATTAACAAAATTTAGAAAAAAATTATGAAAATATTTGTATTAATTTTATTTCATATTTTCAACTGAAAAAAAAAATTACTTCAGTTGTATAAAAATGGAGACAAAAGATTTTTCAAAGTAAAAAAAATTTTCAACAAAGGGTTCGCCAACGAAAGTTGTACTAATACTAGTAGTGCAGTAATAAGCAGCTGTTAAGTGGTAAGAGTAGTAGCAGCTGCAGCAGCAGTAGCAGTAGTAGTAGTAGTAGTAGTACTAATAGTAGTGGTAATTGTTGTAGTAGTAGTGGTAGTAGTAGTTGTTGTGGTAGTGGTAGTAGTAGTAGTAGTAGTAGTAGTAGTAGTAGTAGTAGTAGTAGTAGTGGTAGTAGTAGTTGTAGTAGTAGTAGTAATAGTAGTAGTAGTAGTTGTATGGTTATTATTATTATTATTATTATTCTTTTAACGGAAAAACGAATTTTGTGTGGTAGTCGATATTAATGAGACTTGGGAAAAGAATATTGAAGAAGAAGAAAAAAGAAGAAAAAAAGAAGAAAAAGAAGGAGAAACATGGCGATGGTGATGATGATAGTGCTGCTGTTGCTGATAATGATGACGACGATGATGATGCTGATGATGATGATGATGCTAATGATGACGATGAAAAAGATGATGACGATAATAAATCAATGTTAGCTTCGCCACCGACAAAAAACAACAAAAACTGAATATGAATCAAGCAAATGAAAAAATGAAAAATGGATAGAAAGGAAGAAAAATCGAAAATGTAGTGCATAAAAAATGAAAAAGTGCAAGAGAAAGAAAGAGAGAGAAAGAATGAGAAAAAAGAGAGAGAAAGAAAAAAAGAGAGAAAGAAAGAGAGAAGCAAGAGAGAACTGGAATATAAAATATCAAAAAAGAAATAAAGGAAAAAAGAAGACATAGAATGAAAAGAAAGAGAAATAAAATTAGAAAAAAAGAATTAAAGGAGATAGAGTGAAAGACAGACAGCAGACTGAGAGAGAAGGAGAGAGAGAGAGAAAGAGGAAGAGAGAGGAGAGAGGGAGAGAGAGAGAGGGAGAGAGAGACTTACCATGTATACGATGTAGTATTCAGCTTCATTTGACCGATCGTCCAACGAACGCAGGGGCGGTTGTAAAACATTCATCACATTCTGCGATGACGTCATTACTGATAATGATGACGATGACGATGATGATGATGATGCTGGTGACGTGTCAGTGACGTCATACCTCGGACAGATGAAGTCGATATCATCATTGAGATTGACTTCAATAACGTGATCGTTTTTGCTGGTTTTGAACCTGTTGCGTGTTTTTATGTTTGTGGATTTGTATGTTTATATGTTTGTTTGTATGTTTGTTTATATGTTTGTTTGCATGTTTGTCTGTATGTTTGTTTATATAATGCGAGTTTGTATGTCTCGATGTTGCTTGTATGTTGCTGCTGCATTTTGTACTTTATGGCTGTTGTGTTGATTGTTAATTTGTTTTATAGTGCTGGTTATGAGGTCGTCATCATCATCGCTTCATTTTCTTTTTCACCATTAGTATCATTATCACTTTTGCCATCGTCGTCGTCGTCGTCGTCATCATCAGATCATATGAAATATAAATTGTTATGGACGGAGATTTAATTTTGCGCCAAATTTAAATTCAATTCGCCTCGTCATTCGCAAAATTTTTTTCCTTTATTAAGATTATGATTCCGTTGGGGTGAGGATGAAGACGATGATGGTGAAGACGATGATGGTGACGATGAGAACGATGATGATGATGATGGTGATAGAGGAGATAATGATGATGGTGACGACAAGTATGATGATGAGGGTGTTTGTTTATGATATCAGTAATGATGATGATGATGACGATGATGGCAACGATGATGGCAACGATGATTAACACGTGATTAGCCGGGAAGGATTAGCGATCGTGTCAGTAACTTAGGATTACAAATCCGCCCGACAGCTGTCCGTTAAATTTTAAAACAGGTCCGACATGCTTTGATCATGTCTCCATGTGATGAAGACGACGATGATGGTTAAATAAATACGGTGATAAAATGTGATAATGATGACGGTTGTAATGATTATAATGGTGATGATGATGATGATGATGATGATGATGGTGATGGTGATACCGATTAGGACGATGATAGTATGGATAACTCGCATAAGAGTGATTAACGTATTATAGAGAATAAATATTATCATTTGTATATCTCTAAGTATTATAAGATTTCCATAAGCAATCATCACTATCACCATCGTCATCATCATCATCATCATCATCATTACCACAATCATAATCATAATTATCATCCCCCCAAGTCAAGCTCCTCAACACCAAACCATATTACGCAACCAAAATAGAACCAAAAATTTTAATAAAAAACCTCTTTTCGTTTAATACTACTACTACTGTTCCTTTTACTACTTTAACTACTATTAATGCGGCTGTCACTACTACTACTATTACTAATACTACTACTGCAAATACTACTGCTGCTGCTACTACTATTACTACTACTACCGCTACTAATACTACTACTACTACTACAAATACTACTGCTGCTGCTACTACAACTACAACTGCCAATACTGTTTCTGCTACTATTACTAATAAACTCTAAAATATTACTAAAAATCATCATCATCACCATCCTTTTTATAATCATAATCATTACAATCTTCCGTCTCACCATCATCATCATCATCATCTCTGCCATCATCATCATCATCATCTCTGCCATCATCATCATCATCTCTGCCATCATCATCATCATCATCATCATCATCAGTGACGTCACCAGAAGCAGGACCGAAGAAAATAAATTAGAAAATTATAAATTCCGCCAACAGATGGCCGGCTGGCAAACAACGAACATGCAGTGTTTGTTGTTATTGTTGTTCATATTATCATTATTATGGTTATTATCACTATTATTATTATTACTATTCTTGTTGTGGTTGTGGTTGTTGTTGTGGTTGTTGTGGTTGCTGTTGTTGTTATAAATAATGTTATTTTTATTAGCGTTTGATGCTTTTGTTGATGAAACAATATTAATAATACAACAACAATAATAACAACAACAACAACACTAATAATAATAATAATTATAATAATAATGACGACGACGATGACGTAATGACAAAGATAATATTGACTTCAACGATGTCGATAGGAATGATGACGTAAATATTAACTGCCGTGAAATGAAACAACATGGTCTTGTAGAACTGCTCATTTTCTCATCGTGCTTTCTCTATCTCTCTCTCTCTCTCTCTCTCTCTCTCTATCTCTATCTCTCTCTCTCTTTCTTTCTCTCTATCTCTCTCTCTCCTTTTCTTTGTTTCTCCTTTTATTTCTTTTGTTCATTTTTCATACACTCTTTCCTTCTCTTATATTTTATTTATCTTTCCTTTTTTACTTTCATCAATCACATGCATTTTATAAATAATCTCAAGATCTCTCTCTCTCTCTCTCTCTCTCTCTCTCTTTCTTTTAATCTTTTTCTCTTTATTTTTAATTTATTTTTACTCTCTCTCTCTCTCTCTCTCTTTTTCTTTCTCTTTCTCATCTTTTAAATGTTCAACAGGCGTTATTTCTATAGCGCTTAATGGCACAGCCAGTACTTGAACAGAAGCACCATTTGGAAGCATTAGATGGCCGGCCAGTGTACGCTTAAATCACCTTTTTAATTGGATGAACGCGTGTCCAAAGAAAAAAAATTTACATATTTATTACACAAAGATGTACAAACAGCCTGTACAAAAACGTATACAAAAATGTATACAATTTTTGTATGAGCATACCAACCGGTACGATACACAAAATGTACCTAGTTAACATTAAATATTATAGAAACGCAAATATATATACACAAAACTTACATACATACAATTCGATGAAGGCGTACAAAGTCCTACATACATGCATACAAACAAACAAGTTTACAAGCCTACAAACAAATCAATATACAAATACATACACATACATATAGATATATACAAACATACATACAAGCCAAAAATATATTCACACACAAACCTAACTAACATCAAATCTATCTCTCATATCTGTATGGTAATGGTTCCTACAATGTTTCAAATGATAAGAACGATAATAGCCGAGATAAAACGTTCTACATTAACACATCTGCATATGTAGTAGCATGTACTATGCGATGGACTCTCATGCACATACACACATGCACACGTACGCATACACACACACACACATATAAACACATATATACCTACACAAAAATACACATTTAGGCATTGTAAATTAACCAAAACTAATGCGACACATACAAAGATATGCAGACATACAAACAAAACAAGACACGAAATTAAATTTGATCCGAAATGATAAAACCTTTTTAAACCTAAACATACACTTACATACTCACCCACACACAACACATACACACGCACGCACACACACACGTACAACAAACATGTATATACTCAGTAACACCTGGACATACATTACAGAGGCTATCTCTATTTCTATTCACTGACTGACCATTCAAACTCCATAGCACTCGGACATTATTTTAGTGATCTGCTATAAATTTCACACACACACATCACACACAAACACACACACATTCGTAATAAGACGTAAAATTACATAAACACATTCATACAAATAAAAGCTCACACACAAATATAGACACATGTGTAGGCATACAAAAAAACACACACACATACACACAGATACAATTAGACAGACAAAGGAAAGGAACGAACCAAATATATAGAATGTTATTAGATTTTTTAGAGTCTTCGCACATTCTTCATTGCAAACACATGGGACCAAGGGACCGAGATGCATTTGCTTGTTTTCTATCGACATGCTACACATACACACACACACACACACGGACATGGACACACACACACAAAACTACACACGCAAA